TTTTTTTTTTTTTTTTTTTTTTCTCTCCCCCCCCACAAAAACAAACACACACACACATACATATATATATATACATTTTTTAACTTACAAAATAAAACAACTGTAGCTCTCATGGCTATATATAAGAAAATTTTCTGCATAATAAAATATATATATATATATATATATATATATATATATATGTATTTTATTATGCAGAAAATTTTCTTATATATAGCCATGAGAGCTACAGTTGTTTTATTTTGTAAGTTAAAAAATGAAACAAAAGGAAAAATAATAAAAAAATTACTTTCCTTAACAAGTCCCAGATTAACAATATTAGGTGTTGGCTCCACTTTAAATGATGCCTATTTATTAAAAAACACAACTATAAGTGTATGTTTGAGTTTAAATGAACAAGTTAATGTTCTTTATAATATTTCTGATTATGTTTTGCATGAATTTAAATTTATTAGTGATTTACTAATATTAGGTCGATCGAATAGATTTTCATTATGGTAATAATAAAAATAGAAAATTATTACAAATTTATACAATTTGATATTTACAATATAGATACGATTACAATTATATAGATGCACACAATCATATTTGAATTATATAATTGAAATAGACATTGATCTATTTTAAATTAATAAATTTATTTATTTTATTTTTTTTTTTTTTTTTTTTTTTTTAGTAAAACATTTTTATGGATAATATATTTTAAAGTCATGATGGCTTCTTTCTATTTTTTTCATAATTTTGATAATTCTTTTTCAGGGTCTTCTATTTCATCTATATTATATTCACAAACAACTTTTGCTATTTTTCACTATTTTTTAATTATAGCATTTTCAGCTTATGAAATTGATTTACCTTATAAATTTATTAGGCATGTTCCTTATATTTACCAATTGGTAATGTAACGAACTTAGAAAAAAAAAAATTCATATTTCAATTTTATTTTACAAGAGAATAAATCTATAATTTTTTTTTTTTTTTTCTTTTCTATTTTAGTCTAGAAGAAAATATTTTCTAAATAATACAATTATATTTTTGACTATATTAGAAGCTTTTGTTGTCTCTTTCATTTCTTATTATATTTTAAGAAATAACGTTTTTCATTTAATTTCTCATAGAGCTTTTACATTTCATATATTTATCCTTATTTTTTTTATAACTTCCGAAAAAATTGTTTTACTTTCAAAAACATGGCATTTATATTTTTTTATTATGACAGTTTTAATTATTTGCTTTTTATTTATATATATAAATGTATATACTTTAATTGATTGTCTAAAAATAGGAAAGTGTGAATTTGGCCTTTTTCATACTGAAGATTTATATTTTTGGTTGTCTTTATTACCAATTTTATATGTCAACTTTCTTATTGATAAATTTATGAAATTTATAAATAATAAGTAAATATAAATATATAAAATTATTAAATATATGGTTTTTTTTTTTCTAAAAATTTATTTTTATTGCACCTGTAATTTCTATATACTTATAATATATATTATTTAAATTTAACATATTATTATATTTTTTTTTTTTTTGTTTATTTTTTTTTATTTTCCCTCTTAGAATTTATCCTGATATATCGGATTATTTACGGAAGGGTTTAATAAATGGAAATATTAAAAAAAAAACAAAAGATTCAGAAAACGAAAGTAAAAATACAAAAGAATTCTTAGATTTTAATAAAAATAAAAAATTACAAAAATTAATTCCTTCACCAAATATATATCACATAAAAGATGACAATACATATTATAATAAATCAAAAAAAACCAGATTCATTTATAATGCCTTCAGAAAAATTATAGATATAAATGTGAAATACAGGAATCAACAATTAAATTTAGAATATAAAACATATGAAAAAAGAAATAAATTAAAATTAAGAATCATTGTAATTATATTGTTTTTTATTTATTTTATAATTTTTTTTTCTCAAATAATAACATCTAAAATTATAAAATATCCAATTAAATGTTCTTCGATACTTACTATGGTGAATTATATATTAGCAACAATAATTTTAATTTATGTAAGAAGGAGAAATAAATCTAATTCGACTTTTTTTTTCTTCTTGGCAAAAATATTATTAATAGTTGGCTCCTTTCTAGAATTATATGATAATATTAATAATAATATAATAAATTTGCTAGTTGCCTATTCTTTCACAGTTACTTATATTTTTTTTTTTTCTTTTAAAATTTTGGAAGGATTAATTATTTGTGTAGTAATGTTATTTATAGATATATGGGTATATTATAATAAAAATATGCATATTAGTTTAGGATGTTTAAAATTTTGTGATAACCCGTATTTAACTAGAAAAAACTTAGAAGAAGTTAATGTATCTTGCTTATGTAAGCAACAAATAATTACCTTTTTAATATGTATGTTAAGTTTTACCTTAATTTGTTTATCCATGAAATATTATGAAATTTATTATTTAAAGAAAAAGTTTTTATTTAGATACAAACAGAAAGTAAACTTAGCTAAACAAATAGAAATTTTACACACAATGTTACCCAGTTTTTTAGTTGAATATTTGTTAATAAGTGATCCAAAAGCAGATGGAATAATGGTAGGAAAAAATATATCAGGTGAAGATAGAGGTATCATATCAGTAATTTTTTGTGATATAGATGACTTTCAAAATATGGTTACAACATTACAACCACAAGCTCTAGTGGAAACATTAGATAACTTGTATTTGTATTTTGATAAATGTATAAAATACTTTAATTGTATAAAAATAGAAACTGTATTTGAATCATATTTAGCTGCTTCAGGATTAAATGAAAAGCAAAATGATTGTATATATAAAATAAAATATGATACAAAATGTGCTATCAAATTAGCTATAGCACAATTAAGTGCTAAGTATTATATATCTTATAAAGTTTTAGATATTCAATCAAATTCATTAGATAATAACTTTCCAGTTGATAAATATGTACATAAAAGTATTAGTTTAAGAATAGGTATACATACTGGAAAGGCAATCAGTGGTGTTATTGGATCAGTTAAACCACAATATTCACTTTTTGGTGATACTGTTAATACTGCATCAAGGATGAAGTCTACTTCGTTACCTGACCATATTCAGGTTTCTCACGATACTTACAAATATTTAGAAGAAGATAAAACATTATTATGGAAAGAAAGAAAAATTTTCATTAAAGGAAAAGGAGAAATGAAAACATATTTACTCGTAGATATATTAGGTGACTCTAAAAACAAAAGAGAAAATTCAGAATTAGAACCTTCCAGCTCCGTTTTATTAGAAAGTAGTAATAAGATAGAAAGAAAAAAATATGAGGAGAAAGAAGAGATAAAAAAGGAAGAAGAGAGTGAAGAAAGGGATAAAAAGACAGAAAAGAAAAAAAAAAAAAAAAAAAAAAACAAAAAGATAGAAAATAAAAAAGAAAAAGAAAAAATAAAAACAGATAATAAATTAATTGATGATTTATATACATGTGATAAAGAAAAAATCTACCATATAAATGCTGACGATGATAATAGTATAGAAAGAGAAAGTTTCTTTACATATTCAAAACTGGATGATGAAAAGGCAAATTATTTAAGTTCTGACAATTTGGAAGAAATTAAAAGATTAAAAAAAAAATCACCACATAAATTTGAATCTAGAGTTATTTTAAATAATGAAACACTTAAAGGAAAAAATGAAGAATATGATTTTTTTACTTCCCCATATAGAGATGATACAGATTTAGATGATAAGAAAAGTAAAAAAGTAAAAAAGAAAAAGATGAAAGAAAAAACAAAAAAAAAATTACGATACTTAAAAGAATATTCTTCTAGCTTTAATGGGGAAATTAAAATGCAAGATGCTATAAAAAAATATATAAAAGAAAGAAAAGATTATGAAAAAAAATTTTACCCACCTAATTTTAATTTTAATAGATTTCTGATAAGTTCTAATAAATTCAAAAAAAGAAAAAGGAAAAATCAAGAGTATACTTCTAGTTATGAAGAAGGTTTCTGTAATTTTCTAAATGATAGTTTTACATCCAATTATGAATTTTCTACTGAGTCTGAGAATTATGGAGAACATCTAATCCAAAATAAAAAATTTATTAATTTTGATGATTTATTCACAAAAATACATAAAAAAAAAAGAAACTTACTAAAAACAGAAATTAGTATAGGAATGGAAAAAAGAAAAAATTTTTTCAGTAAAGGAAAAAATTATAATGAACAGAATGAAAATTCAAAAACAAAGAATAAAAATTTTTTTCATTTTGTTAATCATCAAACACCAAAAGTAATAGATGATGAATCTATTGAATATTATAATAATATGTTTAATAAAAATACTAGAAATAAAACTAAACATTATATTACTATGGATAAAATATATAATATAAATGAAAATATAAAACATTCATGTAATTCTTTTGTTCGAAATGAGACATGTTCACAACATAAAAGTGATATTATGAGAGGAGAAAATAAAAGAAAAGAAAAAAAAATAAGTAAAAATATAAAAAAAAAAAAATGTTCGTATGTTTTAAAAAATAATCATCATACATATTTCACTGGTTATAATTATGACACAGATATATTAATTGATAATAATAATAATAAAAACCAAAATTACAAAAAAAAGAATTTTACTAAAAATAGTTTTAGAAAGAAAGCAATTAATAAAATTATTAATGAATCTAAAAGGGATACTTTGCAACATAATTTCTCAAGTAACAACTTAAAGAATATTCAAAATAAACTTTCAAATAATAGTTTTAATGTAAAATATAAATTGAAAAACTCTAATATGAATAGCAATCATATAGAGAATGAAGACATAATAATTTATACAAGGTTTAGTAATGCATTAGATAACAAACTAAAAAAAAAAAATTTTCTAAATTATAAAAAAGTTTTTAAATATTGGTATATAAAGAATATAACTATTAGGAATTATATAAGTCATAAATTAATAAATAAAAAAAAAAAAAAATTAAAAAGAAATAATATGGAATATAAAAAAATTTCAAAAAATAATACCATGAAAAATAAAATATTAAGCGATACTTATATAATAACAAAAAATAATATAGATAACAATAATAATATAGAGGAAATTAAAAAAAGTAATAAAAAATTTATTAATGAAAATAATGCAATATTTGGTTCTATTATGAGTGGCACGTCTGAGGGTAAAGAAGAAAAAGAAAATAATAATTCTAATAAGATTAATAAAAAAATTTCTAAAAATAAAGATAAGGATAAATTTAAATTAAATGTAGAAAATTTTTTTAAAAAAAAAGAAGTTAATTTTAATAATGAAAATTTTACAAATATTAAAGGTGATAATAACTTATATAACAATAATAATAATAAAATTAACGTAAAAAATTATATTAAAGAAGATCAAAATGAGGTTGAAAATAAAGAAGAGAAAAATATGAATAATTCAGATGAAGATGATGATGAAAATGAAAAGGACATAAGTAAAGCAAATGAAGAATACAAAAAGTTTAAAAAAAAAGTATCAAAAAAATTAAGTTTTTATAGTTTGAAAGAAAAAAGTTATGTAACTGATACTTTTGGTGATAGCTCTTTTGCAATTAAATCTAATGAAACAAATAGAGGAATAAAAGAAAATGTAAAAAAAGAATATTTTACAGCTAGTCCATCACTTAAAAAAAAAAAAAATTTTTTTACTAAGATTAATCATATGTTTGCAAACTATTTTAAAAGTATGGAAGTAACTGAAAAGTCAAGTTCTATTAGGAATACACTTAAAAATAATACAGGATTACGTAGTAAATCTAAAAATAGTGAAAAAATTGTAAGTTCATATACGACTGTTAATAATAAAAACATAGATTTTGCAAATAAATTTGATAACTATAATAAAAAATTATTAAAAAAATTAACATCAACATTACAATTAAATAAAAAGAAAGTAAAAAATTTCAGTACTTTTTATTATAAATTTAATGATGAAGAATTAGAAGAAGAATATACAAAAGATTATTATAGAGAAAGAATAAATATTGATTTAACTAAAAAATTAATTATTATATTTGTTATATCAGAAATAATTTTAGGCTTAAGTAATGTAATTGAGTTATCTTATTATAACAAAAATTCTAAAAAAAATGACTTTATAGTTATTATTTGGTTAATTCGATCTATATATTTATTCATAATAACATATATATGGCTGTTATTAAAAGTAAAATTAAAAGAATATAAAAATAATCCTAGTAAAATGATGTGGACTACATTCATTTTAAATATATTTTTATCTTCTTGGTGTATTATGATAATAGATTTGTCATGTATACATTTTAGTAATTTAGTTAGTAATTCAAATGAAAGGTCATTATTCCTTATGAAGGATGCAACTGAATTAGTCATTTGTATACAATTAATATTTATTAAAAATATGTTATTTAAACATAAATTTTTTTTTTTAGTATTTTTTTTTATTTTCCTTATTTATTCATTTTCTAAATTATTTAGTGTAACATTGCATGAAATACAAGTTTGTTTTAGTCTTATTTTAATTCTTTTTATAAATATACTTTATTTTTGGTATTCCGAATATTTAGATAGAATACAATTTTTAGTAAAAAGAAAAAGAAATAGAATGGAAAAGACATCTCAAGACTTTCTAACAAGAATATTACCAAGACAAGTTTTAGAAGAATATCAAAATGATAATTTGCAATTAACTTACAAGCATGAGAAAATTGCTTTTTTATTTGCTGATATTGTTGGTTTCACAAAATGGAGTAAAACTGTTGGTCCTAAAGACGTTTTAAAATTATTACAAAAACTAATTTCTAAAATTGACAAAGATACAATTAAACTAGGTTTATACAAACTTTTTACTATTGGAGATGCTTATGTTGCTACAAGTCAGCCTAATTCATCTATAACTGATGAAAGTGAAGCTGTTGAAGGAATATTAAATATTTTTAAATTGGCTAAACTTATTTTACATAATATTAATACTATTAAAATACAATTCAATAAGCATGATTTTAATATGAGAATAGGATTACATTATGGTTCATGTGTTGGTGGTATAATAGGATCTGTTCGATTAAGATATGATATGTGGGGATTAGATGTATTAATAGCTAATAAAATTGAATCTAATGGAATACCAGGAGAAATTATTTGTTCTGAACAATTCAAGTCATTTTTCTTAGAAAATGAACCACAAGCGTAAGTTTTTATATGTTAATTTAAATATAAAATTATAAAATTTATGAAAATATACATAAGGAAATATTTCATTTAAATATATTATTAACACATATATATGTATAATATATATATATTTATATTTAACTAATTTATAAATTTATTAATGAACATTACTAATATCATTTTAAATTTAACTTTTATTTCATTAGGAAATTAAATTTTTGGTATTATAAAACAATATATATAAATGATAAAGATATAAAGTTATATGTTATTGAAGACAAAAATTATGAAGAAGATTATGATCAAAAAATATTAGATTATGAAACATTATTACAATTGCGCAAAGAAAAAGAGAGACGTGATTTAATATCTTTTGGTAAATAAAAAAAAAAAAAAAAAAAAATATTATTTTCCATGGAAAAAAGACATATAAAAGAATATCATTTATATGTTTATATTTTTCATTAAATTTTTTAATTAAAAAATATACACTTTTATGGAAAATATTAAAAAATAAAAATATTATTACACATTAATGAAAGGAAAGAGTTTTTATCTATTCATTTAATAAATCATGTTTTTATTTTCTTCGAATAAAATAAATACTAAGAACTTTTTTTTAAATATAAATATTATAGTTCATTTAAATTAATCTTGCATTCTTTTTATTAAAGACTTCATAAAATCTTTTCAAAGTGCATACATATTAAAATTAAAAATTTTCTTTTTTTTTTTTTTTTTATAATTAAGAAAATAATTGAAAATAGTTTAAGTTTAAAAAAAAAGAAAAGAAAATTTTATTTTATTAAAAATCATTCGTAATTTAATTTTACTGAATATTCTTATGTATTCATTGTTTTTATATACTTTCAGTGTTTAATTCAAAAAAAAAAAAAAAAAAAAAAAAAAAAAAAAAAAAAAAAAAAAAAAAAAAAAAAACACATAAAACAAGATATAAAATAGAAGGCAGAAGATAATAAAACGAAATACAGCGGAATTTTATATTATATTAACAACGAAGTAAAAACTTTGAAAATAATAAAATTAGGAAAAAATAAAAATAAATTATTATATAAGGAAAATTAAAAATATAAAAATAAATTTAAATACTGTATATATATAAAGACAATATAATGAAAACATGAATATAAAAACTTACGGATATAACAGATGGCACATTTTATAATAAATTTAAATTTTAATTTTATAAATATATGTGAATGAATTCATTTTTGTTTAGCTTTATAAAAAATGTTTTATATAAATAAAAATAAATATTAAAAATGTTCAAAATTTTCTTACAATACTTTTTATTTATATGTATAATTTACAAAAAAAAGAAAAAGCTTTAGGTAAATATGTATTTAATTATTTTAAAAAATTACGAATAAATATTTAAAAATCCCATAAAAAATAAAAATATATACATAAGAAACTAATAAAAAAAAAAAAAAAAAAAAAAAAAAAAAAAAGCATTTTTATGTTATATTTCCTCTCTCTATATATTTACATATTTATGAAAATTGCATTCCCTTAATTTTGAAGAAAATTATAAAAGAGTCTATTATTACTTGAAATTTAAAAAGATACATTTTTTAACATGTTTGTCCATTCCTTCACATATTTATGGATTCATAAAATAAGGCATATTTTTTGGTATCACATTTAAAATTATATGAATTAAAATCATTTTTCTTTTTTTTTTTTTTTTTTTTTTTTAAAACATTATTTTAAAGTAAAAAAAAAAAAAAAAAAAAAAAAAAAAACTTTCACCATTCAAATAATTTCTATAATCAAGATTACTTTAATCCTTGTAGGTGAAATAAAATTATGGTATCTTTTTTTTTAATTTTTTGTATAGTTATATATTTATTTAAGAAAGAATTAGGAATCAAACTTTTTTGTTTCCAGAAAATTTAATGAAAGATTCAGTAAAAAATTTATCGTTAAATAATTCTTCTGGTAATTTATTTTCTATATTTTTAAATTTAAAAAATTGTGGACTTTTATTAATATAATCACAATTAACTATGTTTGAATTATTTTTAAATTTTTCTATATTTTTATCAAATATGTTTGGGTTTTTTAATGTGTTGTTAACTAGAACATTATTGCATTCCGAATTAGAACTTTTGCAATCAAAAAAACTTGTATCTGTTGAAGTATTAGAATAGCAATTACCTAACATATTAAAATCACACATATCAGAAATGTTCTTTTGCTCACATAAATTATCATTTGTGTTATTAAAATCACTTAAAGTTAATAGAGTTTCATCATTGTGATATATCCTTCTATTATTCATATTTTTTTGCTCTATTAAAAATATATTAAATTTTTTATCTTTTTCTAATAATAAAGATTCATCATTTAATATGTTAATATTACTAATAAATTCTTTTTTTTCTTTTGTACTATTAGAATCCTCATATTTATTAGTATTATCTATACATATATTAGTATCAGTGCTTTCATTATTTATACTGTTGGTAATTACACTTTCCTTATTATATTCATTTAAATTATTGGCATCCATGTTCATATAAATAGATGATGGGAGGCCATCATAATTTCCATTAAAAAATATATTTTGATCATCCAAATTATATAATTCTTTTAAGCTATTTACAAAATTATCAATTTTAATTTTATTTAAAATTTCATGATTACCATTTATGTTACATTTTCCTTTAAATATGTTATTTTTATAATCCTTATTCATTTTTTTGTGAAATAAATCACTGGATGATATAAAATAGGAATTTTTTTTGATTAACTCCAATTCACTTAGCTTTAAATCACTTAATTGTGAATCATAAATTTTCATTTTTTTCTTTAATTTAAATAAATCATAACAAAATTTATCATTAACATCGAAACTTTTTGAACTAACTGAATTATTTTCACTATTTCCTGACTCCACTTTGTTATGCATATTTTTTATATTTTCTAATATTTCAATTGATAAATTATTGTAATTTTTAAAAATTTTCGTTGAGTTATATTTATTTTGTTCATTAGTTTTTTCCTCTACTTTTTCATTTGTTTTTGTTTCTTTTATATTACTTATTTTATTCTCCATTTGCTTGTTATTTTTAATTTGAACATTCTCATTAATTTTCATTTGTTCATCAATTTCTTCCTCTATTTCTTCTTTATATCTACTTTCTACTTTTTCGTGAAATTTTTCTTTTATATTTTTATTTCTTTCTTCTCTCCCATAATCTAAAAAATCCATTTGATTTAAATTTATATAAGTATCCTTTTTCATATTATATACATGATTTTTTTTTTTGTAAACATTTAATGATTGATATATTTGTTTTGTTTGTTCTTTAATGCAATTATTATTATTATTATCATCATCATTATTATTATTATAATCATTATTATTATTATTATCATTTTTACTATGATTATTATTATCATTATTATTATTATCATTACTATTATTATCATTACTATTATTATTATTATCATTATTATTATGATCATCATCATTTTTACTATGATTATTATTATCATTATTATTATTATCGCCATCATTACTATTATTATTATTATTGTCATTATTATTATTATTATCATCATCATTATTACTATTATCATCATTATTATTATTATTATTATCGTCATCATTATTATTATTATTATCATCATCATTATTACTATTATCATCATCATTATTATTATTATCATCATCATTATTATTATTATCATCATCATTATTATTATTATTATTATCATCATCATCATCATTATTATTATCATCATCATAGTCATTATTATTATTATTGCCATTATTATCCATATTGATATGATCGTTATTATCATTGTTTTTATCATTCATATTAATGTTAGCATTATTATTAATATCATTTTTAATATGATTATTATAATTATTATCATTATTATTATTATTATTATTAATATTATTATTATCATCATCATTACTATTATTATTATTATTATTGCCATTATTATCCATAATGATGTGATCGTTATTATCATTGTCATAATTATTATTATCATTATTATTATTATTAATATTATTATTATTATCATTATTATTATTATAATCAACATTATTATTATTCTTATTATTATTATTATAATCATCATCTCCTCTATGGTTATCTCTTTGACAATTCATATAATCATTACCAATATCATTGGAATTATTTTTATTATTATTTTTGTTATTTTTATTTTCTTTATTATAATTTTGGTTATAGATTTTATTATGTTGTTCATTGTTATTATTCTTGTCAAATTTTTCCTTGTAATTATTTTTTTTATGTTTATTTTTTTTAATTTCAGCTACATGCTTATTTTTGTTGTTCCCATTTTTGTATTTTATCATTGAATAGTTAAAATTGTTATGAATAGTATCATATTTTCTTTTTTTACTTGAAAAGCTAATCGTTTTCTTATAATTTTTGTTACTATTTTTATCATTTTTATCACAAAATAAATCTTTAGGTTGATTATTTAATCCTTCATTTACTTCATAATTATTGTAATTTGCTGTTTCTACATTTAATAATTTGTCTTTGTTATTCTCATTTAAAGAAGAATATTCTTCATATTTTAAATAAAAATTTTTGTTATCATTAATAATAATTTTATTATTCATAGAAGTTTCTTCTTCATTAAAAGGTTCTTTAGTATTTTCAATTATTGAAATTTTTTTTTCTTTCTTTTTTAAAGGGTTAAATGAAAATGTTTGCTGATTATCTTTATTAAATGAAATTAAATTGTTGTTCTCTTCATTGTTATAAATGTCAGAGTTTTTCTTTTTAACATTATCATATAAAATTATTTTATTTTCATCTAAAGCTTTACAGTAATCTATATAATCATTAATTGGCTTAACTCCCAAAGGATTTATGTCAGAATTTAGATAATAAAGAAGATCTTTAGATAAGTTATGTGTTTTATCATAAAAACCAATAACAGAATCATTATAAATATTATTATTATTAATTTCCATCACTCTTTTTTTTTTAATGTTTTGATAATCATTAATGATAGATGAATTTGTCTTTATATGAATTTTATTAAAATCATTTAAAACGTCTGAAACCATATCATTAAAAAATATTTGAGAATTAGAAATAGTATTTTTCTTACCTAAATCATTAATATTTCTTATTATAAATTCATTTACATTTTTATTATTTTCATAATTCTTCATTCCAATTAAAAACGAAGAATTCTTTTCATTTATTTTACTGTCATTATTATAAGCATTGCATTCACAGTTATCATCCTCATCACTATCTGATATATATATAACTTCTTGGTCTCCTGATAAAATAGTGAAAAAAAAATCATTTTATATATACATATATTAACAAAAAAGAAATATTACATTATTAACTAATAAAATTTAACAACAATTACAAAAATTTTTTTTTAAAAAAAAATTAATATTTACAATTAAAAATCATTCCTGCTTATATGACTTGCTAACTAGGTTAAACATTATAACAATATAGACACAAAGTATGTATTTATAATAATTAATGATTAAAATATCATATATATATAACAAAAAAAAAAAAAAAAAAAAAAAAAAAAAAGCAAAATTCTATTGAAAGAATAAAATTATGTTTAATAAAAATAAAATAAATTGTAAAAACTAAAAATTTCAATGATTATTTATCTATATAAAGGTCATTTAATAGTACAATGTAAAATATAAAAATTAATATATATCTGTAATAAAAACTAAATTAAAAAAATAAATGAATAAATAAAAATATTTATATATATATAGATATATACATATAATTTTATGTTAAAATATTTTTCAAATATTCATTTATTCTTTATATTTTATGAATACATAAAATATATCAAGGTCATAAATTAAAACGAATATATAACTAAATATAACATAATGGAATGGAATACTATAAAAAATAAAATAAATATAAAAGGTATGATAATATATCTTGTAACAAAATAAACATTTCAAGCTATACATTAAATAATATATAATTTCATTTATATAAAAATATATAATTATATACATATATATATTATACAATTGAAAATTATTTGTAATGAATAAAATTTTTCAATAAAATAATAAAAATCTTCTTTTTTTTTCCTTATGTTCTTCTCTCCTATATATATTTATTTATCCTTTTTTTTTTTTTTTTTTTTTTTTTTTTTTCATATTTTACATAATTTTTTGTCTTTTTATTTAAAATATGTTTATTGATTTTTAAATTCTAAAAAAATATGATATGAAATGAATATAATTATTTACATAAATATTTATATTAGCTTATAATTCTAATTTTGTTCTTTAATAATACATATATATATATATATATATATATATATATATATATATATATATATATATATATTTTAATCTAAATTATTTAGGTTATATATAGAATACCTTGTATGATATGACTTTTTTCTGTGGTATATTTTTCATATACATTGTAATTATTGTTTTCTTGATCAGAATCTAAAACAATGATTTCATTTGTATTGTAAAAATTATCTTTAGTTCCCTTACACATTGTACAATTATCTACTTTAAAAATATATAAAAACATATATATGTATACAAAATAAAAATTATATGTGTAAAAGTGTAAATAATTACAAATAATGTATCAATAAATATATATTTAATGATTCTACATATAATATCTTTACATTCATAAATATGTGCATTTTTCATGTTACCTATATTATATTCTGTTTTTACTTCTATTTTGTTTTTATTAATATTAAAAGATTCAATATCATCTAATTGTTTAATATTTTTTTCTTCAACATAATTTCCTTGATTTAAAATTATTTCTCCATTTTTACTTAATTCAATTTCTTTAATGTCTTTAGGGACTTGAGATAAAACATACGTAATAAATGTATCAATAACTAAATCTTTAGGTCGTAAATATAAGGAACAAATAGGGCATTTCCATCTATTATTAAAAGCTTTTGTTTTTTTAGTTACATCGATGAATGATTTTAAATCAAAACATTGTATATGACAACATTTGATACCCCTACATGGAATTAAAATTCTATCTAAAGAAAAAGGGCAATTTAAACTAACTTTTCTATTAATTTCCATACACATAACTTCATCATCATCATGTTTTGTAGATAAAATATTTACTATTCTTTGTTTTGCATCCTTAAAATTTAAGGAACTTTTTAATATAACATTTTCAATTATATTTTTTTCTGTTTCAATTTTGCATAATAAAAATGCAACTACATATAATTTAGGAATATCATAATTAGTAATATTTATATCTATATTATTATTTCCTGCTTTTAATGTATGGGTAATTTTTAAAGGATTATCTCTTCTCTTATGTTCCCATGAAGGTTCATATATTTTTTCTATTATATTTCCATTAACTTTTAAAATAAAAGTTTTAGGCCACTCCTGTTTTAATGGTACATTACTTAAATTTTGTTTATCAATATTTATACAAAATATGATAACTTCTTTGTTTTCATTTTTCCAATGTTTAATATCACCAGCATTAACTATTAATTTTTCTGAATTGACATTTAAATTTTTCATCCATAACACTTTTTTCAAAGGATAAAAAGGATCAATATCCCTTAGACGGCAAACTACACATAATATTTTGTAGTTTTCTAAATCTTTATTTATATAAGAATTTTGTAAGTAACAACTAACATGCTGCAATTTATTGCATTCAATACATTTTACTACACAATTTTTATTACTGATGTTTCTTATCATCCCTCCACAAACACAGGAAGAAAAATCATTATCTTCTTGATATATTTTCACTAAAATATATAAAGAAAAAAAAAATATATATATATACATAAATGAATTATTGTAAATTATATTCAAAAAAGAAAAAAAAAAAAAAAAAATATATTTACAAATATTATATAAAAAATATATCAAAATTTTTTTTTGTTTTTTTTTTTTTTTTTAAATGTTTTAAATTACCTTTTCCCTTTCTTATATTTGATGAAGAGTTTTTTTTTAATGAAAAGGTTTCATTGTTTGAGTAAGTGAAATTATTATTATTATTATTATTAGTAGTAGTAGTAGTTATAGTAGTATTAGTATTAGTTCTTCCATTTATTAATTCAAATATGGATGGCCTAGTTTCTAAAATAAATTCATATATTTGTTCTTCTCTTTCAACATCTGTTATATATTCTAAAATTCGTTCTACTATGGCAACTTTTTTACCATGCTGAGGTAGTAAAAATTTTCTACATAATTGATTAAGATCATATACTCTAAGTTTATTTAAGCTATAAAAAAAAAATAAATATATATACATATATATACATATATATATATTACAATTTTTCATAATAATTTTAATTTATTTAAACTATATATATAAAAGAAATAATAAAAAAATATAAAAATAAATCATTATTACCAATCAGCCATATTAGTATTGTAAACATTGTAAGACATTGTTACTATATGTTTATCTGAATATTTACTTCTTTTCAAATAGTTAATTATATTTTTCTTATTTTTGTTTCTTTATCTATTTTTTTTTGAAATATTTTTAATTCAAAAAATATGTTCATTTAATTATATGCAGAATATTTTCATCAATGGCTGTTTCCACACAAAAAAAAAAATAAATTAAAAAAGAAAACATAATTAAAGATAAAAATATATATATATATATATATATTGAAATATTTGATTACTTTATATATGTAATATCATTTAAAAAACAATACTATTTATTAAAAAAAAAAAATAAATAATAAAAAAGACAAATTTTTTATTTTTTAAAAATTTGAAAAAATGAATAAAACAATATTTTCACTAGTTTAATATTTAGTAATTTTTTATTAACTTAAAAAGTAGTGTAATTTTTTTTTTTATTATAAAAAAAAAAAAAAAAAATTATAGTGTTATTCCTTTATACATATAATGAAAATTATAAAATTTTCATTTATATAAATATACAAATTCCAAAAATTTTTATAATAATATTTAAAAAAAAGAAAGAAAAAAGGGAAAAAAAGAAAACGAAAAATAGCTCACAAATTAACAATAAAAATTATTATAAAGTATTTTTAATAATAAACCCTTCCCACTAAAACAACAAAAAAAATTTAATTAAGATTATCTATTTTTTTTTTTTATTAAATATAACTTTTCAATGTTAATATTCATGAAAAAAAAAAAAATATTTATATTTAATAGCTCTTAGGCTTTAAAAATTTAAATAAATTTTTTTTTTTTTTTTTTTTTTTGCTTCTATTTTTAGCATATTGTGCATAGGTTTAAAAATTTTCATTTTTAAGGTAAAATAGATAAAAAAAAAATATTGAAATTTAGAATAAAAAATTTATAAATATTAAATATATAAGAAATACAACATATAAATTAGTATGAATTAAATGATTTTTTTCTGAAATATAAAATATTTGTTTTTTTCATTTTTTGCATACTTCTTTTAATATATGAACTTAATTGGTAAAATTATAAGATTAAAAAAAGATATATACATATATATATATTTATAAATATATATATATATATTTATTAAATTTTTTACAAAATTTATATTTATATTTACATTTAAATATGATCAAATATATAGAAAAAAAAATATGTTAATTTAAAAACAAAATTACTATTGCTTAATTCAAATTTATTTTCTTTTTTTCTATATGTTTTACTTTTAAATAATGTCTAATTATAAGAAATATATGTTAAATTATTCATATAAATTATTTTGTCATGTGAAATTTTAATACATATAAAAAATATAGAACATAAAAATTAACTCTTATTTAGTTTTTTTCTTTTTAATATTCTGTATTTTATTAAGTATATTTTTTATATTTCATATGAAACTATCTCTTTTAGTATAATATTTTCATATAAAGGTATAAAAAAATAGTCTACATATTCATATCTTTTTCATTTATTTGAAAAAAAAAAAAAAAAATTTAAGAAAGATAAATATGTATATTTAATAAGATACACAAATGAAGCATAAGTCCTTATATAAACATTTATCCTTATATATGGTATACATGGTAGTATAATTTAAATAATATATTACATCATATTAACATATTTTTAAAAATTGAATAATTTTAAACTTTTTTATCACGAGAAGATAATAAATTATCAAATGTATATTTTTTTTTTTTTTTTTTTTTTTACAATTCAATATATATTCTTTCATTAATAATGAAATAACACCTTAAATTTAATGTTATACTATTTTTTATTCATTAGAATTTTATTCATTAGAATTTTATTCATTAGAATTTTATTCATTTTTAAAGTTTTTTCATTATAGTTAATTATATGTTATTTAATAATTTAAAAATTCCAAGAATATTATAAATAAAAAAGTATATTGAATGAGATTCTATAAAAAATTACAAGGAATTTTTATTATTTTTATTTTAAAAGTATGTGTAATAGAAATATTAACATACAAATTATATTAAAATAAGTCAATTATATGAAAACAAAATAAATTACGAGAAGCAAAAGTTAAAAACAAAAAGTATATATATTGGGTTCTGTGTGAGTATACATTACTAGTATATTCTAATTGACATTATAATTTTTTGTTAGTATGAAAATTTGCGTGAAGTTTTCAATAATATTCTAATATATATATATATATATATTTTCTTTTTAAACCTTTTTCACATGTAAAAATTAAGATTTTACCCAATTTTTTATTTATGATAGCTTTGAATATTGAATATTGTTCATATGTCTAAAGGAGAGAAAAAAAAAAGTTACTAATGACTTTTTAAATGAATTTTTCTATTATTAATACATATTAATACAATATTAATAATATCTTAGATATATTTTTTTTACAAAAATTTTCTATTGCAAACTTTTTTTTTGTGAATTTTCCTTTTACTTCTAACAATCTTTTATTTTGATTTTTTCACTTTTATATTTTATAAAAAATTTGGTATCTATTTTTTTTTTTTTTTTCAAATTTTATTCATTTAAATTTCTGATATACTTCTCATACTTAAAAATTATTGATTGTGAAAAAATAAAATATTTCAATTTTTTTATTCAAATAATAATTTTGACATTTATGTTGATTTTTTTACACATCTCTTCTTTTAAAATTTTCATTTTACCAATTATTAATTTTTATTTTTTCGATAAAAATATTCTTAGTACATGTAGAAATAAAAAGATAAATATATATTATGATAAAAATACAAAAGTTACCTACCTTATTGATATTATAAATTAAAATGTGTTATTAAAATAAAAAAACAATGAGATAGGAAAATGTTATACTAATAATAATTGGTAATAAGTATATTCTGATAGTAAAAACATTTTCATAAATATATAATTTATAATTCTAATGAGATTAAAGAACTGAAAAAATAATATAGTACAAAATCCTACATTCATGTTTTAAAAAATTAAAGATTTATTCAAAAGAGAAATGTAATTATAAATCAAATAAAATTCCTACTAAGATATAGATGATATATTAAAATTTAAGTGGTATAACAAGAATATAATTACATCGTAATATTTAGAAAAGTTGTAATATTAAATATAAAACAAATGATAAAATAAAAAAAAAAATTACCAAATTACTAATTTTTTTTAGTTTTATGTTCATCTAAGAAATAACATCTTTATGAATGTGAACTTTAAAAAACTTTCAATTTACAAAAAATATATTTGAAAAAATTTCATATATTGGTTTATTTTTTATTGGATACTTTACATAATTATTTTTCTTTATGGTATGATAATATCATTTTACCTCAAGATTTTTAATAAAATAAGTAATAATTATATTTTAAATAAGATTTTATATCTTAAAATACTTCTTTAATTTATCTACGTAAAATTAATATAAAAAAATGAAAAAAAAAATACCCTTTATAATATAGAGAATTTATAATAAAATAATATACTACTTTTTAATTTGCTTTGCTATTTTCCATTTTTTTAAATGAAATCCATTATATTAAAAATAATCTCATTTTTTTTAATGTACATTGAAAATTATTATGTAAGTGTATATTTTCATTTAGGACTTTATTAAAATTAAAATAATTTTATGTTCTTAATATTTTTTAAAAATTCTACATTATATACAAAATAGAATCTATGTTATTTTTTTCCTCTTAAAATTTAAAAGAAAATACTTTACAATAATATATATCTACATATGTATATATATATATATATATAGATATGTAGATATGTATATATATATATATATATATATGATGCATTAATTGAAGAAATAAAAAATTAATGGGCATGCATAAAAAAAAAAAAAAAAGCTTACAATGCTAGGAAAAACAATTAACATGCAATAAAAAAAAAAACTTGTATATAAAAAAAAAAATTAACTCAAAATAAAAAAAAAAAAAAAAAAAAAAAATTAATATAAAAATTAAAAATTTTAAAGGATAAAATAAAAGAGTAAAATTTGTTAAAAAATATGCATCCAAGTGTATTTACGTTACATTCCCACATACTAATATACACATAAAATTTTATGAGTAGAAATACCAAATTAAAAATATTTTGTGAGAATATTTTATTTTCCTTTTTAAAAAAATAAAAATAAAAATAAAAATAAATTAGATAAATGAAATTAATGAAAGTATTTGGATATATAAATATAATCACAAATTGTGTTCATAATATTTTATGCAAAGGTGAAAAAAAAAGTTATAATGTTTTTGCAAATAGTTTCATTTACTCATTAAATAGTAATTTACATTCATTTAGAGCAATCATGAGTAAAAAACCAGAATGGACACTTGAAAAATCCCCGGAGCATAATAGTTATAATATTGTTGAAAAAAGATATAGTGATAATTTTAAAATGACTTATACTGTTTATGAACATAAAAAATTAAAAACTCAAGTTATAGCACTTGGAACAAATGACCCATTAGACGTTGAACAAGCTTTTGCTTTTTACGTTAAAACCTTAACATATACTGGAAAAGGAATTCCACATATATTAGAACATTCTGTTTTATCAGGTTCAAAAAATTATAATTATAAAAATTCTTTTGTTTTGTTGGAAAAAGGTTCCTTACATACTCATTTAAATGCTTATACATTTAATGATAGAACTGTATATATGGCAGGTTCTATGAATAATCGCGATTTTTTTAACATTATGGGTGTTTATATGGATAGTGTATTTCAACCAAATGTACTTGAGAATAAATATATTTTTCAAACAGAAGGATGGACGTATGAAGTTGAAAAATTAAAGGAAGAAGAAAAAAATGATGACATTCCTAAAATTAAAGATTATAAAGTATCATATAATGGTATAGTTTACAACGAGATGAAAGGAGCATTTAGTAGCCCATTAGAAGATTTATATTATGAAGAAATGAAGTATATGTTTCCAGATAATGTTCATTCTAATAATAGTGGTGGTGATCCAAAGGAAATTCCAAATTTAACATACGAAGAATTTAAAGAATTTTATTACAAAAATTATAATCCTAAAAAAATAAAAGTAATGTTTTTTAGCAAAAATAATCCAACTGAATTATTGAATTTCGTTGATGATTATTTGAATAAACTTGATTTAAGTAATTACAGAGATGATAAAATAGACAATGTAAAATATCAAGAATATAAAAAAGGGCCATTTTATGTTGAAAAAAAATTTGGAGATCATTCTGAAGATAAAGAAAATTTAGTTTCAGTTTCGTGGCTTTTAAATCCTAAAAAAGGTAAAGATGATAATGCAGAAGTAAGTTTAGAATCTCCTATTGATTACTTTGCTTTGTTAATAATAAACAATTTATTAGTTCATACTCCTGAAAGTGTTTTATATAAAGCTTTAACCAAGAGTGGTTTAGGAAATAGTGTTATTGATAGGGGATTGAATGATAATCTAATTCAATTTGTTTTTAGTATAGGATTAAAAGGAATAAAAAAAAATAATTTACAAAATATTAGCATAGACAAAGTTCATTATGAAGTTGAAGATATTGTTTTAAAAGCTTTGAAAAAAGTTACTGAAGAAGGTTTTAATGAATCAGCTGTAGAGGCAGCAATAAACAATATAGAATTTGTTTTAAAAGAGACTAATTTAAAAACATCAAAAAGTATAGACATAATTTTTGAAATGGTATCACAATTAAATTATAATAGAGATCCCTTGAGATTATTTGAATTTGAAAAATACATAAATATAATTAAAAACAAAATAAAAACTGAACCCAAATTTTTAGAAAAATATGTGGAAAAATATTTTATAAATAATGATCACCGCGCAGTTATTTTGCTTAAAGGTGATGAAAATTACGGATTTGAACAAGAGAATATGGAGAAACAGTCATTGAAAAATAGAATTGACAATTTCACAGAAGAAGAAAAAGAAGGTGTTATTAAAAATTTTGAAGAATTAAGTAAATACAAAAATGCAGAGGAAACACCAGAACATTTAAGTAAATTTCCTATAATAAGTATATCAGATTTAAATAAGAAAACATTAGAGATACCTGTGAATGTGTATTTTTCTAACTTAGAAAAAGAAAATGATATGGAGCAATATTTAAAAATTAAGGAAAATGAAGATACATTAATCCAAAATATGGATTATTTTAAAAAAAAGTACATTTTAAAAAAACCAATAGATGAATTAGATATAAAGGAAAGAGTTATGTACAATGAAGGGGATGTGCCTATGTTATTACACGAAATGCCCACAAGTGGAATATTATATATTCAATTTGCATTTTCCTTAGATAATTTAACTCTTGAAGAGTTAAGTTATTTGAATTTATTTAAAACATTAATACTTGAAAATAGAACAAGTAAGAGATCATCTGAAGAATTTGTAGTTTTAAGAGAAAAAAATATTGGAAATATGTTGGCAGATGTTGCTTTATATTCAACAGATGATCATTTAAATGTAACAAATAAATATAATGCATGTGCATTATTTAATTTAGAGTTGCATTTTTTAAGTCATAAATGTACTGAAGCGTTAGATATTGCTTTGGAAGCATTAAAGGAATCCGATTTTTCAAACCAAAAAAAAATATTAGAAATTTTAAAAAGAAAAGTTAATAAAATGAAAACTACATTTAGTGAGAGAGGATATTCTATATTACTGAAATATATAAAATCACATTTAAATTCTAAACATTTTGCTCATAATTTGATACATGGTTATGGAAACTATTTAAAGTTACAAGAACAAATCAAATTAGCAGAAAATGATTTCCCAACTCTCGAAAAAATATTAAATAGAATTAGAAGCAAAATATTTAACATAAATAATTTAATAATAAATGTAACTTCTGATTCAGCAGCATTAGACTATTTGTTTAATAAATCAAAATATTCTTTTAAAAAATTATTATCATACTTTGAAGAAAATAATTTAAATAATGAAAATTATAGTGGATGGAATGATGAAATTAAACAGAATAAATTATTAGATGGAGAACAAGAAAAAAAAGAATTTTTTGTTTTACCAACTTTTGTAAATTCTGTTTCAATGTCAGGTATTTTATTCAATGAAGGAGAATACCTTGATCCAGCATTTACTGTAGTAGTAGCAGCCTTAAAAAATTCTTATCTATGGGATACTGTAAGAGGATTAAATGGTGCATATGGAGTTTATGCTGATATTGATTATGATGGTGTTTTAGTATATTTATCAGCTAGAGATCCCAATTTAGAAAAGACTTTAAATACATTTAGAGAATCAGCTCAAGGGTTAAGAAAAATGGCAGATAGTATGACTGAAAAAGATCTTTTGAGATATATAATTAATTCTATAGGAACTATTGATAGACCACGAAGAGGAATTGAACTTAGCAAACTATCCTTTTTAAGGATTGTCTCAAATGAGACAGAAGAAGATAGAATTGAATTTAGAAATCGCATTATGAACACTAAAAAAGAGGATTTTTATAGATTTGCAGATTTGTTAGAAAAAAAAGTTAATGAATTTGAAAAAAATATTGCTATTATAACAAGCAAGGAAAAAGCAAATGATTACACAAAAAATGTGGATCAAAACTTTAAAAAAATTTTTATTGAGTAATTATTTTTTTTTTTTATCGAAAGAATATTTTAGATTTAAAAATTTATAATTTGTATTTATTTTTATAAATATATACATATCTTATAAAAAATTAGTTATATATTTTAAAAACTTAATTTTTCGTAAATATATATATAAATATATATATATATATATATATATATATATATATATATAAATATTATAAAAGAAAAAAAAATTTTAAATACACCATATCATTTTATATAATTTCCTATAGTTTTTTCATATATATTTTTATTTATTTTATTTAAAAGAAAAATGTTAATAATTAAACAAAAAAATAAACTTATTAAACTTGGGGGTCTAAGATTTGAAAAAATATTTATAATATAAAAAAAAAAAAAAATTAAAGTTACATGTACTTAATTTTTCAAAACGAATATTTATTCTAAATAATATGAAATTTATAGGAATTCATAATTATTTTTAAAATAAAAAAGAATAAAATTTAAAGTTTTTTCTTATTTTTTTTAAAATGTCATTATATAAAAAGTGTAAACAAGGAAGACATTATAAAATGATTTTTACTTAAATATATAAATGAATATTTTATCAGTTAACAACTTTTAATTATAAATTTATATTTCATAAGAAGAGATATACTTCTAATTAGCATTACATATTATTTGAATGAATACTTCTTTTGGCTACCATTTTAAAACAAATTTAATAGAAGTTCATCGAAATTATCATTTCTTTAATTAATTTTAAAACATAAAATATCCAAATAAGTTATTAAAATTATTATTATAATATTTTTAGATTTGAAATTAGCCATCCATTTTATAAAATATTAATTTTTAAAAAAATAAAAATGAATATAGGATATTTTATATATATTATATATATACAAAACATAAAAAGGAAAGATATTTTATTAAAAATAAACCCAAATAAAATATTTATATTTATTATTGTTTTTGCCATATTTTATTTTTTTTCTTCAAAAAAAAAAAAAAAAAAAAAATTAAATATGCATATATATATAAATATATATATATATATATTTAAAAAAAAATTTTTTTATAATTTAAAAGCTTTTTCTTGAAACATAAAAAATTGAAATAAATGTAAATTTCATTAAGTTAATTTAAAAAGTAATTCAAAATATATCTTAAATATATACATAAAATTTTCTTAAATCTTTATATTATTATCATATGGAAATGTGTTGTAAGAAAAATTTTGAAAATATAAAATATAGACTATATATAAAATGTATTTCTTTTAAAAATTTTTTCTTTAATAATGTTAAAAGTATATAAATTTTATCACATATATACCTCTAAAAGTAAATACTTTAATTCATTTTTGAATATATTTAAATAAATAATCTATGTTTTCCCCATGTTATATGTTTTGTTATAAGTTCTCTGAATATAAGGCCCTTGTTCATTATTTTTAAAAAAGTTATAAGGAAAGTGGCCATATTGCGTATTAATAAAAGATTGATGAATATCGTTAGTTGAAACACGCGAATTAAATCTATTATTTGGTATAGTATTTTGAATGGGATACATTTCATTATTCCCAAAATTTGATGAATCATTTCCATGGCATGATATAGGAGGAGGTGGTGGTGGTGGAGAAGTGTAAGACTATAAAGTAAAGAAATATAAATGTGCCAAATATATATATTCAAATGGTTATTAATATAAAAAAGAAGAAATAAAATTAAATAAAATTATCATTATAATTTATTAAAATATGAACAAAAATAATAAATATATATTTTTTATTTTTTTCTTAATATTACATTATTAGGAATTCGATCTATATTTAAATACTGAGGTGCTAAATACCTAAAAATATCATAAAAAAAAAAAAAAATATATATATATATATATATTATAAAAATAAAATAATTTTAATTGAATTCACTTATTTAATACTTACTGTTCTTCTCCCTTTTTTATAGAAACTTTTAAGTATTTATTTCCTGCATTAAAGCCATTCATACCTGCAACAGCATTAATTGCACTTTGCTGATTCTCGAAATTTATAAATCCATATCCTCTGCTTTTTCCGTTTGTCTCCCTTTTTATTGTAGCCCCAATTATATTTCCATAATGAGAAAAATGCTACACATACAAAAAAAAAAAAAAAAAAAAAAAAAAAAAATTAATAATATAAATATTTTTCTAATTTTTATTTATTATATCTTTATTATAATATAGATTTATATTTCGTTTATTATGCTTTATTTGTTGTATGTTATTTTATTTTAAATTTAATCTTTCTTTTGTGTTTACTCTTTTCAAGTCCTTGTCGCTCCAGTCATTTGGTAAATAAAAAACAAAAATTGTACATCCCGGTTTTATTTTTTTCTTATTAGTTTCATTGGAATTAGATTTTAATAAAACCTAAAAATATTAAAATATTGTAAAACAAAGCGTTAAAATGAAAAAAATTTATATTATTATCTAAATTTTTTTTTTTTTTTTTAGTCTTACCTTAAGCCTTTTACCGGTATATACTTCCACTTTATTCATATTAGATATTGCTAATGCTGCACTATGTGGATCAGTATATACAACAAAACCGTATCCCTTACTCGTTTTATCATTTTTTTTTGCAACAGTGGCACTTTCTAAATTACCAAATGTTTTAAATTTCTTTAAAAAAAAAAAAAATAATAAAATAAATAAATATATAATAAATATTAATAAAATTTTTTTTTTTAACTAATTTTTTTTAAAAATATTTCACTCATTTACATCATATAAATCTTGATCATTCCAATGAGGAGGAAGATAAAAAACAAATAATGTTGTTTTTTTATTATCATTACTTGACTAAAAATAAAAAAATTTATATATAATTATTGTATATAATATATGAATACTTAAAAAAAAAAAAAAAATAAAAAAGGAAAAAAGGTGAATATAAAATGATATATAATAAAATTAGTATATATTTATATTATTATTCATTTAAAAAAATTATTTTTTTACTTGTGATTTTTGTTGTGAATCTATTTTTGCTGTGTTTATATCTAAGCATTCGTCTACTACTTTTCTTGAAGTTACTTTCAAAATTTTTCCATTTATTTCTTTACCATTCATAACCTCAATGGCCTTTTGAGGAGATTCAGGTTCATTAAATTGAATAAAAGCGTAAACGTTTATATCTTTATCTATTATAATATTATTAATAGTGCCAAAAATCATAAAATTCTTCATAAAAAAAAGAAATATAAAAAAAAAAAAAAAAAAAATTATATTAAAATTTTTTATTGATATAAATACATATATATATATATATATATATATATATATATATATATATATATATATGTATTTTACTTATTTTTTTTTTTTTTTGTCTTATTTTGTTTTTTTACTTTTTTTAAATCATTTTCCATCCATTCATTCGGAAAATTATAAACAAATATGCTATTTGATTGAAAATTTTTATTCCATTCCATTTTGTTTTCCTATAAAAGACAAGAATAAGGAAAATAAAATAAAATGTGATAAAAATAAAATATTTATACACATAAAAACTTTATTTCATTAAAAAACTAAAGATATAATTAATACTTCTTAGAAAAATCCTTTATACTTTCTTTTTTTTTTTTAAATATTAATTTTAAAATTATGCATATGTTTATGCATACAAGTATTATTTTAATTTTATTACATGTAATTTTTAAGCATATGCAATTCAATTTTTTATTTTTTTTTTTCCTACCAAATCCATTAATATATATTTTTATTTTTTTGTATGTGGAAAATTGAACTTTAAAATTATAAAAGAAATAAACAGATAAATTACTTATCATTAAAAAGTATAAAATAATTCTTAAAAAAATATATATATTTACATATATACAAATATATACATATATGTTCTATTATTTTTTTCTTTATATGTAACAAATAATTTTTAAAAAATTTTATTTTTCCTTCATTTATTTTATCTAAATATCAATGTTTCATATTCTCATGTTTTTTTTTTTAATTACATCATACAATTTTATGCAAAATTAAAAAAAAAAAAAAAAAATGTAAAAATTATAGCATTGTAAAAAATAATATAAAATAAAATAAAAATAAATTAAAATAAATTATTATAAAAATGCACTTTCATATATTTAAATATTATTTTTATTTTTTAACAAATAAAATATTCTCTAAAAAAAAAAAAAAACACATAAAAAACCAAAATAATTTTTTTTGTCATACATTTTTAAATTTATTAAATATAATCAGTATTTTATTTAATCCTTTTTTATTTATTGTAAATCCATTTTTATATTATTTAATTAAACTTATTATATTTTAATAATATAGGAAAATTCATGAAACGTTAGCCTTTTAATGTTATAAATCTTTCATCGTATTTAACTAATTTAAAATAAAAAATACTATAAATTATTCTTTTTGTTATATTAGCATGTATAATACATTAAAGAACAAAAACAAATGACAAGAAGAAAAAAAAAAAAAAAAAAAAAAAAAAAAAAAAAAAAAAAAAAAAAAAAAAAAAAAAAAAAAAAAAAGCAAAAAATAGGATGAAATACTGTTAATATTAACTATATCTACATTTATAAATTAATAACATTAATTTCAAAAAAAAAAAAAGATTAACAATAATAAATAATATATCTCAATTTTAAAAAAAAGAATTGAATAGATGTTATAAATAGAACACTTCTATTTTCAAAAATAAAGAAGCATATAATTTTAAATGCATCATATTTATTTAAGAAAAAAAAAAAAAAAAATGATATATTTTGTTAAAAAAATATAAGATTATTAGGTCTACATTACTAAAAAAATTTAGTTTTTGTATTTATATAAAAACATAAATAGTTTTTTATTATTTTATTTGTTATAGCTTCTTTTCTTTTATTTTACGTTAATATGCTTCAAAACATAATGTAAATTGTAATGCAACATAACTCAACTGTTAAAAAAAAAAAAAAGAAATTTTTGATTAAATTGTTATTTAAATTCATTAAAGAATTTCATATGAAAATGTAGATAATGTAATAGAAAAGGCAGAAAATAAACTAAATAAAAATTTATGGAGAAAAAAAAATGTGTATTAAAAAAAAAATGGTACATGCTTTTTAATAGAAGATCAAATAAAGAACTATTTGACAAAAAGTTTTATATTTAGTAATATAATATATGTACTTTAAAAGCGAAAATATCATCATATATATATGTATTTCTGATTTGAGATACTTATATAACTTATTTACAATAATTTAAAGTTACAAAGATTAAAAATGAAAATTATATTTAATATAAATTCATTTATCAGTTTAAAGAGAAAAAAGTGTATAAATAACATAATACATATATATATGTATACAACCTATTAATAATAAATAATTAAAATAAATAAAAAGAAATAAATTAAATTAACATATCATAGATGAGTATTAAAAACAAAAAGTATATATAAACAAACATTATGTTTAATTTGGAAGGAAAAAAAAAAAAAAATTAGAATATATATTAATGTAATGATAAGCTATATTTTAAGTAAAATCTTCAATTTATTAAAAACATTAAATTTTATTAATTTCTTTATTGTTACAAACAATTAATTTTAAAATTATTAATTAAATTTTTTAAAATAATTAAAATCTTATTTATCTAAAAAAATAATAAATCTTCTATTTCTATTAATAAATTGAAACAAAAATTTTAACAAATTATGAACATAAATAACATATTAAAATGAAAAGGTTAAAAATATTTATTAAAAAACAATTATAATATACATGTACTTTTTTTCTTTTTTTTTTTTTTCCTATTATCTTCCTATAGAAAAATAACGAGCATTTAAATTATGAATATTTGTAGTAATAGGCTCATTAATACACCATTCATACCATATTTTATGATTGTCAGTTAATCTCCAAATACTAAAAGATAATTTTTGGTCTTTTTTTAAATATATAATTTTATTCATGGGTATAAAAAGTGGATACCAACTATGTAAATTTGAAGTATGAGAACCTGGTTCAATTGATATATAAATATCATCATATAATTGACTTTTAAAATAGCATAAAAATCCATGCAAATATGAATCTGTTTTTATTTTAAAATTAATATTTTTGTATCGATTATTATGAGTATTGTCTTTTTTAATATCAAGATTGGGTATTTCAAAATAGAAACATTCTTTTGGCCTTTCCTCAGAAATATTACAATATGAATATAAATTTACAACATAAAAGATTTCATTACTTCCAGCAAAATTATTTTGAGTTAATTTATGATATAAATGAGAGCAAGAAATAGGTTCAACATATGATAAACAATTTTTTGGTATACTTACTCCACCATCTTTTAAAAACTTTTGTACTCCATCTAAGCATTCAGGAAATAATTCATTATCACCAAATGATCCTAATAATTCACTAATAATTAAATCAGCTTTTTCGTTTATATCTAAATATCTCATATCACTATGAATTATACTAACATTTTTCCATTTATCACTTAAAGAACGATTTTCTAACACTAAAAAAGCACTTTCATTTTTTTCTATTGCATAAATTTGAAAATTAGTTATTTTATTTTTTTCAAGAGCTAATAGAGCTGAATCTACAAGAGGCCCTCTGCCTGCTCCTACCACAAAAATTATGAACTTTTTATTATTATTTTTTTTTTTTAATTCATCTGATAAATATTTGCAAATGGCTATTTGATATTGTTCGTATTTTATTTTATCTCTTTCAAATATTTCATAAGTTTGTGATGGCAAATTGTCCTTTAAAGGTTGTAATGGTATTTGTAAATAATCCCAATAAGCATTATCAAATAAATCTTCCCTATCAAAATTCTCAATAGATAAAAACAACCTTTTTAAGTAATAAATACAACATTTCAGAAATGTGAAATTTGAATTAAATTTTCCATTAATACATTCTTCTTTTTTTTCTATACTATCAAAATCTCTATTATTTTTATCAATTAATAAAATATCTATATTTTTTCTAAAAAAAAATATTAAAAAATCTTTTAATTTTTTTGGTAAATATGGATATCCATTTTTTGAGTCACTGACAAATGCATCTAGAGGAACAATTATCAATTTTACAGGCTCTGATTTCCATATATCTAAATTTATATTATTTATTTCAATATCATTTAAATTAACTAATTCTATTCCTACACTCAAATTAGAAAAGTTAAAATTGCAGTATGAGATAAATTTTGCCCATAGATTCCACCCATCTGAAATTTCATAACAATTATTATTCCTATTATCATAATTCTTTTTAACTAAAGGTATTTTTACTATTATTGAAACCCCGTTGTAATTATGAATATATGAATTGATACATCTTGCATAATTATCACATATTTTACGTGGCATATTAATGATTAAATTTTGAATACTTATATAACTAGACCATTGCAGTTCTTTATTTAATGCATCAATACAATAATTATTATATTCTACATTTATATTATCTGTGTCAATCCAATCTGATATTAATCCATATATATTTTTGTTCCATATTCCTTTATCTTCAAATTTATTTCCAAATAGAGGAGTAACTTTATACTCATTTAAACAATTTTCTGATAAAAACAAGTCAGTGTTAATAAGTTTATTATTTATTTTATTCTCTTTAAATAATTTACTAACTATAAAATCAGGATTTAAATCACTTATATCTGAATTTTCTATTTCATTATAATTACATTGTATTCCTATATTTAATGTCCCATATTTATTTTTTAAAGGCATTTTTTTTTAATTTCTTTTTAAATGTACATTGTATTATTTATTCATATATTTTGAATAATTTACATATATTAAATTTTATTATAAAGAAATATAATTTTAAATTGTTCAACAGAATTTTTTTTAATAAATATTTCTTTCAATTAAAAAAAAAAAAAATAAAATAAAATAAAGCTACATTATTTTTATATTTCAATGAGTAGTAATTTTGACCGTAAATATGTTTTGCTTAAAATATATATATTTATAATTGAAGCATTTGTATAGGTTTTTTCTTTTTTTTATAGATAATTGATATTAAAAAATTTAACAAAATATATAATCATATTAAATAAATAAAAATGAAAAAAAAAGAAAAAGAATAAAAATGAAATAAAGTAAAAGTAAAATAAAATAAAAAATAGAAAAAATAAAAATTTTATATATATATATATATATATGTAAACTTCAAAAGTATACATCAATATATTTACTTAAAAAAAAAATAATATACAAAGTTACCCTTGATAAAAATATATGAAGAAAAAATAAATGTTATAATGTAAAATTCTTTATTTTACTATTTTTCGTTTTAATTACATATATTTTTTTATATCTTAATGCTTTTTGGCTATCTATATTATAGAGTTAATTTAATAACAAAAAGTAAAAGAAAAAATATTATAAATTTTATTAGATATTATAATTTTAAAAATAATAAAATGTTTTGAATGTACAAAGTTTTACATTATTTTAGAAAATTTTATCTTAATTATATTATTTCAATTGTTTTTATTTTAATAAATATCACTTTAATTCATTTTACTTTCAAACAACAAATTTCATAGAAAATTGTGCAAAAATAAATATAATAATATAATAAATATTAAAATTTTTGAATATTTCAAAATTATAAAATTTGCATAAAATGTAATAGTAATATAATTTAAACTTATTCTAATAAAGAAAATTAAATATTACTGATTCCTAAAAAAAACCTAAGATTATGGAGATATAATTATGTGAAAAGAACATATATACAACAATGAAACTATAATGAAAAAAATATTAAACACCACCTAGTTTCATTTAAGTATTTCTTATATAAATAAAATATAATATTATAAGATTAACCAAAATTTGTATAGATATACAATATAGTCTTACTTTTATTTATCTGAAAATTTCATTATATATTTTTTTTTCTACAAGGATATTGAAAAATATAAATTAGAAATAGTTAAATTTTTTTTTTTTTTTTATTTTTTTTACTAGAATAATAAATATTACTGTTATCAATAAAGATTTATATTTAACTATATACATATATTTAAGAAATGAATTTTATAAATGATGTCATTGTCCATTATTTATAAAATTCATAACATAAATGTAAAAAAAGGTATTTTATTATGATATAAATAAAAAGGAAACTTATGACTTATGTTTATATGTTTTTAAATAATTTTATCTATATATGAAATATATGCATATATATTTTTTTAATCTATTTTTTAAAAATTTACATGATATTTTTTTTTTTTCTTCATCTTTTTAATTATATTATTATTAATTATATTTTTTTTTTTTTTTAAATTACTAATTTAATTTTATAACAATTTAAATCTTATTTTTTAACACATATATATATATATATATATATTTTTATATAGGTAAATATATAATACATTTTAAATAAAAAAAAGAATGCTACATAATTTATAAGTAATATAAAAAATTTTTAATTCCAAAAGAACAAATAATATATAATAATTCGCTTCTTTTATATTTAAAACAATAAAGTTTTAATTTATTTCATATTTTTATATTTAACTCGTTAATTTTACTTTATTAGTAAATATACTAGTAATTTAATGACGATATGTTTTTTTTATTTTTTTTTTTTTTTTTCCATTCAAATTTTCCCTTTTTTATTTATAAGTATGCATGAAAGAATATTTATAAAATGGACAAAAAAAATTAATTTGAAATAATAATAATATAATTATAAATACAAATATATATACTTATATATTCATATTAAAATATATATTTATGTAATGGTATATTTTTTTTTTAAAAAAAAGCTAAAATAAAAACATTTTAATAATATAGTATTAATCCGTTAAAACATATATATGAATGTACACTTTTTTTAAATTAAAAATAATACAGAATAATTTTATTGTATCACATTTTTTTTTTTTTTTGTAAATTTTTTTCTGTGTTATAAATTATAACGAAAGAATGTATTTATGAAACTCTAAAAAATAAAATATTTTAAAAAAAAAAATATATATATATATATATATTTATATATATATATATAAAAATAGTAAAAAAAAAGTTTAAGAAAAAATATTATATACATATATATATATGTATATATATAAAAATAATTATGAAATAAGAAAAATAGCACTCTTTAATTTTTTTTCAAAATAATGATATATTTATAAAAATAAGATAACTTATGAATTCAAATAGATAATAAGGCAATAAATATCAAATAAAAAAAAAAAATTACATAATAAAAAAAATAAAAAAATTGAAAGGAAAATATATATATATATATATATATAATTATTTATTACATTAAGTAGTTCCCTATGTAATTGATATTTAGTATATTTAATTTTTATTAAATACATAAATATTTTTTTTTCTTTTAAAAGAATTGTAACTTATTAATTTTTTTATATTATTTTATTATTAAAGTTTTTTAAATAAGTGAAAATGCAGCCTTTTGATTATAGAGGGATGAATAATTATTATAACAATAATAATAATAATAATAATACAAATTATAATAATCAAAATAACGTAAATAAACCAATAAATAATCCATTTTCTTATAATAATAATAATGAGATTACAAATAACAATATACAAGGAAATGAGAATATATATGCACAAAACTATTATCAACCACAACAATTACAAGGAATATATGCACAAAATCAAACAAATATACAATCAAATAATTTAAATGAAAATATTTATGGAGATGGAACAAATCAAAATTCATATTTAAATCAACCACAATATAGGGGAATAGCAAATCAGTTTATTCCCAATGCAATCAATAATAATTTCAAACAACCATCAAATGTTATAGGTTTTGATAATACAAGTAATGTAAATAATGTACAACCAATAATAAATGAATCATACCAAGAACTTTTACAATTTAATGCTTTTTCACATTTTATTAAAAGTTCAGTAAGTTATATGCCAGCTAACACAACATTAAAACAAAAATCTTATGTACCACTAGGTTTTGTTATACAACCATTAGCTCCAATACCAGATGGATATCCTGAATTGTCATCAGTAAATTTTGGTAATTCAACAGTTGTGCGATGTAAAAAATGTAGGACTTATATTAATCCTTTTGTTAGATTTGAATCAGGAGGAAAAAAATGGAATTGTAATATGTGCTATCATATTAATGATACTCCACAATTTTATTTTGTTCCATTAGATGAAAAAGGAAAAAGAAAAGATCTTTTTCAAAGACCAGAATTATGTACAGGAAGTGTAGAATTTATTGCACCAAGTGATTATATGATAAGACCTCCTCAACCCCCTGTTTATTTGTTTTTAATCGATGTAACAGTAACTTCAGTTAATTCAGGATTATTAGATGTAATATGTAACACTATAAAAAAGTTATTACCAAAAAATAATGATATGAACAACAAAAAATGTTTTGATTCTCGCACTTTAATTGGAATTATAACTTTTGATTCTACTATTCATTTTTATAATTTAAATTCTAATTTAAAACAAACACAAATGATGATTGTTCCAGATATACAAGATATCTTTATCCCATTACCAGAAGATATTCTAGTAAATGCTCATGAATGCCAAAATATTATAGATAATTTATTAGATAATTTACCTACCATGTGGAGGAATAATAAAGTTAGTGATTGTTGTGCAGGTAACGCATTAAAAGCTGCATTTATGGTTCTAAAAAAAATAGGAGGTAAACTTTTATTTTTTTTGTCATCAGTACCTAATATTGGAGAATTAACTGTTAATTTAAATAGAGAAACTAAAGAAAAAAGCAAATACAAAAATATTTATAGTTCAAATAACTCAGGAAATAATGTTGTAGATGCAAAATTACGAGAAGTAGAATTATTAACTCCATACAATAATTTATATGCAGAATTAGCTCAAAATATAACACAATATCAAATTGCGGTAGATTTATTTGCTTGCCCATTGTATAATTTAGATTTAGCTACAATTTATCCATTGATTAAAAATTCAGGAGGTTCATTATACTATTACCCTCAATTTAATGTCCATCAATATAATGAAAAATTAAGAGAAGAATTATTATTTGCATTAACAACAGAAACAGCTTGGGAATCAGTAATGAGAATAAGAATTAGTAGAGGATGGAAAATTACAAATTGGTATGGAAATTTTCAATTTAGAGGAGTTGACTTATTAGCTTTACCTAATTGTCATTCTAGTCAAAGTTTTTCTATTATTGTTGATTTAGAAGAAAATGTAGTTCAAGATTCGGTTGTATATGTTCAATCAGCTTTATTATATACTAATTCTAATGGAGAAAGAAGAATTCGTCTTCACACGTATGCTTTGCCAGTTACTCAAAACATTAAAACTATAACGGACTCTATTAATCCTCAAGTAGTTGTTTCATTATTATCTCATCAAGCAATTGACATAAGCAAAAAGGGAAAAATAGCAGATGGAAGAAATTTAATTCAAACACTATGTTCTCAAGTGTTATCTTCTCAATTGCTTCCATCAGAAAGTGCAAAGTTATTATCCATATATATATTAGGTATGCTAAAGTCAGTTTCATTTAGAGATAGTGGAGATGTTCCTTCAGATTTAAGAATATATCATTGGTCAAGAATAGAAAATATACCTGTTGAATCAAGAGAAGTATATTTTTATCCAAGAATGTTTAGTTTACATAATTTGGAAAAACATCATGGAAATTATGATGAAAATAACACTGTTATGTTACCTGATACTTTGAATTTAACTTGTGACAATATGACTCAAGATGGTTGTTATATAATTGAAGATGGAGAAACTATTACCATGTGGATAGGAAGGTATTATTTCGAATATAAATATTTATATAATAATTTATAATAGTATATTTCTTTTAAATATATATATATATATATATATATATATATATATATTTATATTTTTTTTTTTTAGGAGTATTAATCCTCAGTGGGTTTATGCTGTTTTTGGAGTTCAATCACTAGACCAATTAAATTCAGAATATGCTGAAAATCATTTAGGTAATCTAAAGTGAAATGCTCATAAGTATATTTAAAGATATATATATACATATATTTATTTTTATTTCTTTTTTTTTATAATATATAATAGGATCAACAGGTAATCCCTATGGAATACAAATTTTAAACATAATTAATGCTTTAAGAAAAATTAGAAATCCACCTTATATGAGATTAATAGTTGTTAAACAAGGAGATCCATTAGAATACAAGTAATATTCTATTGATAAACATATGTATATATATATATATATATATATATATATATATATATATATATATATATATATATATTTTATTATTTTTGGATATATTATTGTTTTTATTTTTTTACAACATTTAATTTTTTTTAAACAATTTTGTAGATTTTTCTCAAATTTAATTGAAGATAGGTCTCAACATATGATGATGTCACTAAAAGAATTCTTAGCAAAAATTTGTTAGTTATAAAAAAACATTAATTTTTAAATATATTCATATAAATTATATTTAAGTTAAACTTTATTTGAGTATATATTTTAAGTAAACGTATTTTTCTTTTTTTAATTATTAAGCTTTTAGATAATTTACATTATATATTAAATTATTATTCATATTACACAATTAACAGAAAGTGTATATAAAATTATGTAACGATGTTATAGTATCGTATATGTTTCATATTATTTCTTTATCTTCCTTTTTTTTTTTTTTTTTATATATATTTATTCATATTTTATTTAAAATGATTGTTTCTTTTTCAAATTATTTAATTCATATATATGTGCTTGTTCTTTTTGTCTTATATTCATAATTATAAATTTTATTATTTTTTAAATCTTTATTTTTCCTTTTTATTAATTCAATAATACTTTTTTTTTCTTTATTTTTTATGTAAAATTTGTCATTTATTTTATTTATTTTTTTTATTTTTTTTTTTTGTTAGGCCCCAAATTTCCTCAATTTTCCCCTGCTTTAAATAATCCACATACTACAACACATAGTCGTTAATTTTTTTTTTTTTTTTTTTTTTTTTTTTTTTTGGCCTTCTTTTAAAATATTGTTAAGATAGCTATAATTTATAAATTTCATTAACTTTATATATTTTTTTTAATTTTTTTTTTTTAAAATAAATAATAAAATATATATACACATTCACAAATATATATAACTATATATGTAAAATAGGATAAAAAAATTAAATGTATATTGTTTTCCTTTAAAAAAATTCTCTTTTTTTTTTATTTTATAATAATGATCGCTTATTTAATCCATTGAAACTTTTTTGAAAAATATTTATATAATTTAATTCATTATATATGCATATTTACTTATTTATTAATTTTTTTTTTAAACTTATAACAATATCATTTAAAAAAAATAAGTTCTATAAAAATTTTTTTATACAATATGAACAATTACATTTATTTTTTTTTTATATAAAGGTCATATTAATTTTTATTTCCTAAAAAAAATAAATTTTTATTTTTACCATATTTAAAATTGAAAAAATTAAAGATATAATTTATGCCCTTTGATTAATTTTAAGACATCATAAAATTATATTAAGCATTTTATGTTTTAATATTTTTTTTTCTTAAACATTTTTATAAAAAGAAAAAAGAAAGAACCTATATTAACACTTTACATTTGTTTAGTTTTCATAATCGATAAATCGTTTTTTATCATTTTTATATTTTCTTATTTTTGATATTTTTTTCATTTTTTAATATATAGAAGTATTAGGTTAAATAGTTTTTTTTTTTTTTTTTTTTTTTTTTTTTTTTTTTACATTTAATTTTTTTGTCATGCGTTATATAAATTACCATTTTTTTTAAAAATTTTTTTTCTTGGTAATTAAAAATATTATGAATAAAAACGAACAAAATTACTTAAATGAAAATAATTCTTTTATATATGCAATAGTAATAATGAATTTAACAATCAAAAAGATAAATTAAATTATATAAAATATGTAAATAACAAAGTTTTATATAATTCATTAAATGAAGATTATAATACAAATGAAAATTTTAATTTATTAAATATTACTAATAATAGAAAAATTAACAATAACGATTTAAATAGCTATAATATATTAAATGATAGTTCAAAAAAAAAAAAAAAGGAATTCAATTCATAACAATTCAAATCATATAAAAAGTATTACAATATGAAATATAATAACAATTTTCACACAATTCAAAGTAATTCTTACAGAAATAATGTAATTGATAATAATAAAAATAACAAAAGCAAATCAAATTGCGCTATTGTAAATAATTCCAATATTTTAAATATAAACATGCAAAAAAAAGTTGATCATCCATCTAATTCTTTAAATGAAAATAATAATCATATCGATCCTATTATTAATAATATGTCAAATAATTCTCCTAGTAATAATTCATTGAAAATTTTGAACTTCAATAATAATAATAATTTAATTTATAATAACAACATTTTAACTAATAATTACACTAATAATGAATCATTATTAAATTGTATAAAAATAGAAAACGTAATTCAAAAGACGAATGAAAATTCAATTAATAATGTAAATGAAAATAAAAATAAATCAGTAAATATTAATTATAATAATTTTCATAATAATATAAATAAAAGCATGACTGAGTCAATCGAGAAAAATATCAGTAATCCTCAAAATAATTACAGAAGTTTTTTCCATAATAAAAATAATACTTTAAAAAATTCTGACAATAATGCAAATTATAGCTTAAATAATTTGAATAAGGTAAATAATTTAAATAGAATTAATAAAGTAGATTTAATTAATAGAATAAATAAAATTAATAACTTAAATGATATAAATAATATAAATAGTGATAGTAGCAATGATAATCTTAAAAATTTTAATATGAATAATAATAACGATGTAAATAGTAATTTGAATTACAAAAATACGAAAAATAACATAATTAATTTAAGTAGTTCTTTTAATAATAACAACACGACTGATTTAAATAATAAAATCCATAATAATTTAAGTAATTTAAACAATAACGTCAATAGCATGAATAACCAAAATAATAATGTGAATAACTTAAATATATTAAGTAATAAAGTGAACAATTTAAATAGCAAGAATTATATAGTGAATAATTTAAATGAGAAGGTTAATAATTTAAATAATAATGTCAGTAGTATTAACAATGTAACTTCTAACATAAATAGTATTGATAATTTAAATAACCTGAAACATCATATGCATAATATGAAAAACAGTAATGATAGTTTGAAAAAATTAAATAATAATGTAAATAATAAGAATTTAAGTATGTCTAATCTAAAAATATATAATAAAAATAGGAATAATTTAAATAATTTGGATAACAAAAATAATAATAGTACTTTAAATAATTCTTTAATAAAAAATACAAATAATAATTTGAGCAACGATTTATATTTAAATTTATCATTAAATGATAAAGTGCTCGTAGATGAAAATTTAAAAAATAACATGAATAAAGATAAGCTTAATACAGATAAGATAAACTCAAATGTAAAGAGTAATTTAAATAATAAAATACAAAAAAGTTATAATACAAGTAATTATTTAGAAGATGATGAAACAAATAAGAATATTGATATGAACAATAAGAACTCAACATCTATATATAATGTAAATAGTAAGTATAATTCGAATCAAAATTTGAACTTCGTAAAAAATTCATCAATTCAAGGAAATAATAATAAATTAATTTCATCAAATATAAATCAAAATTTAAATGAACATCCTTCAAGTAATAATGAAAAAAGTAACATTAATTGTGATATTAATATTATGCAAAATGATATTAACAAAAATATAGATAACTCTAATTTAAATAATACCATTATTCATTGTCAATATACTTCACCTGAACATTTAAGAAAAAAAAAAAAAAAGAGAGAGAATGAAAAAGAAAAATTTTCAACAAATAACATAAAGAAAAGCAAAAATTCATTAAATAATCAGCATATTATTATGTATGGAAAAGAAAATATATCATTTAATAATAATAATAATAGTAATAATAATAATAATAGTAATAATAATAATAACAGTAATAATAATCATAATAATAATAATCATAATAATAATAATCATAATAATAATCATAATAATAATCATAATAATAATCATAATAATAATAATCATAATAATAATAATCATAATAATAATAATCATAATAATAATCATAATAATAATCATAATAATAATCATAATAATAATAATCATAATAATAATAATAATAATAATAATAATAATAATAATAATAATAATAATAATAATAATAATAATCATAATTATAATAATAATCATAATAATAATAATCATAATAATAATCATAATAATAATCATAATAATAATCATAATAATAATCATAATAATAATAATAATAATAATAATAATAATAATAATAATAATAATATTAATAATAATAATAATAATAATGATGATGATGATGATAATAGTAATAATAATAATAATAATAATAATAATAATAATAATAATAATAATGATGATAATAATAATAGTAATGATGATGATAATAATAATAATGATAATAATAATAATAATAATGATAATAATGATAATAATAATCCTAGTAAAAATGATAATAATAATAATGATAATAATAATCCTAGTAAAAATGATAATAATAATAATAATAATGATAATATTGATATGAATAATAATAATTACATTAGTAACAATAGTAGTTTTATAAATAATAATCTTTATAATGATAATCAAATTGACAATAATTTAATTAACAACATAAATAATAACTTAAACAATCTCCTAAATGATATCAATATAGAGAGTACTTCTATTTCAAATAATATGAATACATATATTCTAAATAACTTAATAAATAAAAAAAATAATAATAATATAGTTAAAAATACTTGTAACGAAAATTTATACAATAATGATTCAGAACTAAAAAACGAGCAGAATAATACTTATAATACACCTAATAGAATTATTTATAATGTTAATAATAATGATTTTGACACTAATATTATTAGCAAAAACGCTAATACAAATATAAGAAGTAATAACAAAAATGTAATTAATGATAGTTTTCGTAACGTTAAAAAAAAATCATTAAAAAAACATTTAGATATGACTAAAATTTTAGATAATAATAATAATTTTGCAATTTCGAGTAATATTTCTAATTTTAACATATCAAATAGCAATGTATTAGATACGAATAATTTAGAAAATAACAAAATAAATATTGATAAATTTCATCAAAATAATTCTAGTAAAAATGAGATAAATAAAAAAATTGATTCCACAGGTAATACAAAAAAAAATATGTATAATAATACAGTTTATTTAAAAGGTGCGAATAATGATGAAAATGACTTAATTAATAACTCGAATGAAAAAAATATTATGAATAATTTAAATTCTAATAAAATATTAGGTGATGATATAAAAAATAGAAATAATAATTTATATGCATCAGATAAAAAATACTCGCAATCTACTTTTGATAATTCCGTTGATCAAATGAATGGAAAACATTTAAATAACATGTATGTTCAAGATTTGAATCAAACGGAAAAGAAAAGAAGCCATTCTTTTAATATTGTCGAAAACAATTTCTCACCTAATAACATATTTGTAAAAAATTTAACTAACGATAACATAATAAATAAAAAAACAAATGTAGAAAATGAATCTGTTTATGATAATAAAAGTTTAGAAATAGATAAAAGTAATTTAAATTTATTATATTACAAATTGAATAATAATTATAAAACAGATAACAAAGGAAATAAAACAGATTATATGAATATAAACAATAACGAAATAGAAAATAAGAAAGATGTAATAAATAAAGAATATTCAGATTTTTACATGAAGGATGTTAGAGAATCAAGTTATTTAAATACAGTAAATAGTTTGGATAATTTTTTTGGTGACAATAAAATTAATAAAAATTTAGATGAAAAAAATTATTTTAACAATATTAACAATAAAAGTAATATTTATATAAATAATGAAGATGTTTCAACAAAGTATTTATTAAATTTTTTAGTAGATGATTACAAAAAAGTGAATAAAAAAAAAATATTGAATGAATCAAGAAAAAAAAATTTAAATAAAGAAATGGTAAAAAAAGAGAAAGGAATACGAAAAAATAGAACTAAAAGCAAAAAAATGGAAATTAGTGAAATGATGCAAAATTATGATTTTAAAAATATATATCCTAATGATATTTATAATAATCAAAACAATGATATATATTTAAAAAAAAATAAAAACGTAAAAAAACTATGTTTTCCACATAATAATTTTTCATTATATTTAAAAAATTCTTCCTCCATGACTGTTAATACAACTCCAAGCAACCAAACAAATACGATTGATATATTAAGAAGGAAATATAAAAGATTTAGTTTTTGTGTAGATAAAGTTTTCAACAAAAAAAATATAAATGATATAATTACTTTAAATGAGAATGTAAACAAGAACAAGGATTTACTATCTTTATTTAAAAAAAAAGATGTACGTAATTTAAAAAAAAGAAATTTTTCTTTTTTTATGGGAAAATTAGAATTTCAAAAAATAGATTTTTTAATTATAAAAAGAATTCAAATATGTCTAGAAAAGATCAAAAATACATTTGGAGTAACATGTGTAATAAATAATGTAGAAAAAATAGTTTGTATGTTAAAAAAAGCATTTAAGGATAGACTACATTTAATGTGGCCCTTAATAGAGTTTTCTAATAAATATAGATTAGATCAATATTTCCATTTGTTAGGAAAAAATAAAAATCATTCACATTCAAAGTTAAAAAATACAAAGCTAGTTGTACATCAAGTAAATATATAAAGTTATGTAATAACACAAGTATATTTTTATTTTATATAAATATTATTTTCTTTTCTTTTTTTTTTTTTTTTTTTTTGTAGAATATAAACTCGTTAATAGTTTATTTTAATCAAAGAATTATTGATGATAAATGGGTATAATACAAAAATTATAAAAATATATATATAAATTTAATAGCATTAATACATAAATGTTTGTAAATTATTTTTTATTTTATTTTTTTAAAGGTTGAGTATTTGAAAAATCAAATGAAGCCAAAAAGAAGGAGAAGAAAAAATAAAAATAAAGAGAATTTTGTAGAAGATAAGACTTTTGATGTAATTAAAATAATATATTAATTTATAATTATCTCTTTTATTTTAATTATAACTTATCTTAATTTTTTTTTTTTAATGTTAGTTCTTAAAAACAATGAACACTGCTTTATCACTTAATAATACAACTGAGAGAATAATAGATTTAGAATCAGTGAAAGCAAAAGCTAATGAGTTTGCATTTGTAATTAAAAAAAAAAAAAAAAAAAAAAAAAAAAATTAAATAATAATTAAGAAAGAATAAAATTGAAAATATTATGTTTGTAATAATAATAAAAAATTCAGTGTGTATAAATAAAAAAAAAAAAAATATATTTATCTTGGTAAAATTTCTACATAGATTATTTTAATATTATACACATTTTTTTTTTTTTTTTTTTTTTTTAACATAAATAGGTTGGTTATAATCAAAAACGACTTTTAACACAAATTACTCCATATGATTACAAGGCTATTTTGAATTTTAATTTTTGTAAAAAATTATTTACAATAAATTGGAGGTATTAAAAAAAAAAAAAAATAATAAAAATAAAAATTTAATTATATTGTAAAAAATGAAATTTGTATTATTTTTTGTATAAACTTTTTTTTTTTTTTTTATTTCTTAATTATATATTCAAATAAAAATTGTTATATATAAATATATTTTTAAATGACGTATACATTTTTTTTAATATTATTTTCTTATAATTTTTAAAGAAAACAACAAGCATCAATTATTGATAATCTACATTTTGATATGGTTCCTGATACGGATGATATAAAAAAGCATTTTGAATATGTTTATATTAGATATATGGGATATGAACAAAATAAATTGATATTAAAATCGGGAGATAAGTTAAAATCAAGTAAATTAAAGAATAAAAAAGATAATAATGTGAGTAACAAAAATGATGATAAAAAAAAAACCCCAAGGAAAAGAAGAATACCAAAAAATATTGAAAATATTGGAAAAGAACCAGATGTTAAAAAACCTAGAAGGAAATATGAAAGAATAAAACCAAAAAAAAATAAAGATACAAAAGAAAATGTATTAAAAATTGAAAATGGAGGAGATAATATGGCTATTAATGAAAATAATAATAATCAAACTAAAAAAGAAAAAAAAGCAAGAGAAAGAAAAAAAAAAAATAAAAAAAAATTATGTGAAGATATAACTATTATCAAAGGAAACCCTGACACTGTAATTCAAGCTTCTTTAGATTTTATGAACCCAAATATGTTTACTTAAAAAAAAAAAAAAAATTATAATTATGAATATTTGAAGGAAAAACATCTTAATAAGGAAAGAACCAAAAGTGTTTAATAGTAATATCTAAGCATTTATAAGCATATTTTGTTATATATATATATATATATATATATACATAATATATAATTACATGTTATACATTTTAACAATTATGAAACATTTCGTTTTTTACAATTATATTTTTATTTTTTTTAAATATCATTAAAAAATTAAATGTATTAATTTATGTGTTTGTATTCTTATTAGCGGTAATTTTACTAAAATGTTTCCATTTATAATTGTATACATGTATTATTTTTTGATGTTCTATTTTATTACAGATTATATATTATTTTATTTTTTTTTTTTTTTTTCTTAATTTGTAATAACTTTTGTCTTTTTTTTTTTTTTTATTATTTATGTGTAGATAATTTAGGTTATGTATTCTTTAAGAGTGTTTAAATATATGTTATTTTTGTTTCTTTTAATTTTTGATTTTTGTATTTTTTTTTTTTAATTTCTTTCACTTTTATTTGGGTCATGTTATATATATATATATATAATTTTTTTATATAATGTCCTTAGTGTACTATTAAAATGCATTTTAATTTATTATTTATTTTTTTTTTAAATAATACCTTATAAAATGTTAATTTTTATTTATAAAAAGCAAAAGTTTTAAAGTATATATAACTTTATTTGTTTAAATGTAAGCATAAATGTATATACACTTGTAATATATTTATATTATAAAATAAGTTTATATCTCATTTTCTTTCCTTATATATATATATATATATATATATATATATATATATATATATATATGTATTTATATAATTTTATTTTATTTTTTGTACTGTTTTATATTTACATTTGTAAAGAGAATTTGTATTAATAGACAATAATTCGTTTTATTAGAAATTTTATTTTTTATTATTTCTTAATTTTGTTTTTTACTTTTTTAAAATAGAATAAGTAAAATGATACTAAATTATATTTTCCATAATTCTAGTTTAAAAACCTACGAAAATAAAAATGAAAATATTAAAAAAAACAAGTTAACCTCTTTCCAAAGTTGTATAGAAAATATGTCTATTACATTTGTATTATTCGGTTCTTTTATGATAATTTTTAACATTTTTATGGTATAAAAAAATTAATATAAAAAAATATGTTTTTATTAAAATTTTCTATATTAAATAATATGTAGTTATTTTAACTATTTTTTTTTTTTTTTTTCTTAAGAACTTTTTTTATATTAGAAGAGATGAGTTTTCAATCTCCTTAAAATTATTTTTTATAACATCTGGTAGTGTATATTATAACAATATATTTTCTTTTATTATTTATTCATAAGAACATATTTCTTATTTCTTATAATTTCATAATAAATTATAATAAATATAATTATTAACTACATCTATTGTATTCTATATTTCATAAATAACATTTTATATATATATATAAAATGTTAAAATATTTTAAAAATGAATAATAGGTTTATGGGCAATTATAATTATGATCCAAATGTTAACCTTTTTTTTTTCTTCTAATTTTTTTGAAAGTAATTTTTTTTTTTTTCATATGAAATCATATACGTTTTTAAATAAATAAATAAATAAATATATATATATGTTATTTTTATTTTTTTCTTTTTTTAGATTCAACGCATTTACTTTTAAATTATTCTAAAAATAAAAAAGGTTTATTTAAATTTATTATTTTTAACACATATTATATAATATATGTGTGCATATAGTGATATAATTTTTCTTTAATTAGATAAATGGAACCCATTTAATACAGGAATTTTTTTAAGTAAAAACTTATATAGATAGAATAAGACGAACAAATATATATGCGTATATTAATTATGCTATACAACAATTTTTGGGAGAAAACAATATATAATTATAATATAAAATTTTTTCATCTTATTTTAAACTTATTTTATTTTATTTTATTTTTTTTTTAAAGCTAATGTACTAACTTTTAGTTGTATATCTATTTTATCCTTTTATGGTTAAATTTAAAAAATAACAATATAAATATTTTTCATTATGAAAAAAAAAGAGAAAAAGTAAAATATTTTATTCCACATTTAATTTATATAAAAATATTATTTTTTTTTTTTTTAATTCTGATTTAATAGGAATATTCTCATATATAACAAACATGTTTAATTTTACAAATGCCAGTATTATTGCTTCGATTATTTTCAGTTTATCAATGAATTTGTAAAAAAAAAAAAAAAAAAAAAAAAAAAAAATAAATATAAATCTAACAAATTTTAAATAATAATTACTCTTAATTTTAATAAAATTCATAGGATATTTGTTTCAATGCAATTTTTATATATATTTCTGAGAGTATATCAAATTAAGAATATAGAATTTAACTATTATTTATCTCTTTTTTTACCTGGTTTTGCTTATGTAATAAAAAAAATAAATGTCACATTGAATTATCTAATATATTTATTACTATTGTTATTTAAAATATTCAATTTTTTTGTCCTTTTAGATGCTAGAATTGATTGAGATGAAAATAAAATCTAAAATAAGAGAGAATTTATTAGATAAAAAATCTAAAAAAAAACATAAACAAAAAATTATATACCAAAATATACATCAAGATGGTAATTTCAGTATATATATATAAAAAAAAAAAAAAATTTAAACAATAATTATTAAAAAATTATTCTTCTATGTTTTATTATATTTTAACAGAAAATTTATATTTAATTAATTAGAATAAAGCGGATGAAAGAACATTAAAAATGTAAAGTATTTAGTTAAATATTTGTTTTGTTCATTTTTAAATAAATAATTAATAATAATTGAAAAAAGTATATGTAATAGTTTTTTTTTAATTTTTTTAAATCAAAAATTTTTTTTTTTTTTTTTTTCTATTACATTATAATTTGAAGTGTTAACATATAATTATTATTATTGTGGTATACACATTTTTATATAAATCTATTTAAAACAACTTTTAATTATTATTTAGGTATTTAAAATTATTCCTGTTAACTCTTCTTCAAATTCTTCTAAATCACAAGTAATTTCTAAACTTTTAAAAATTCCATTAATTTTTCTCACTAAAGATTCTTTTGATGTTGCATATAACATTTTCTCTTTTGATTTTGCTAAACTTGGAGACCAAAAAATAAAATAAATCCTATTTCTTAATACGCCTTCAGGTGTTGGAACTGGGATGTCTAATATTAAGTAATAAATACATAAGTTAAATTATTAATGAATATAAAAAAAAAAAAGAAAAAAAGTTCTAAATAATGTCTTATTTATATATATATATATATATCTACCAGCAATAATGTATCTACATTCGGTTGTCTTTAAATTATTTTTAATATTAGTTATAATATCACTATAAGATTTCAATTCAATGTCTTGTTCTAATAAATCAACAATAACTTCTTCACAATTTTCAATTCTAAAAATTATATATTTGTGTAAATGCTTAATTTTCAATTTATTAAATTCATAGACACACTCATCAGACACTTTAACTCCTGAAACCATTTTTACAATTCAACTATATAGTAGTGCTTTTTATTTATTTATATATTTTTCTTTTCTTTTTTTTTTTTTTTTTAAACGAATATTTTTTATTATTATTTACACTTATTTTTTATTTTATTATATTTATATATTTTATTTTTAGTTTAAATAATTAACTTATTTTCTTTTTTGTAAACTTAGTTTTATATAATTTATCTAATATCCAATTATTTTATTTCAAAAATTTAGACAAAATTTTTTATTTATTATACTATTAGATACCATAATGATAAGTTTTTTTTATTAGAAATTCTTATAAATACTAATATGCATCTATCGAAATAATTCTAACAAAACTTCTATGTCTAATAATTTTTTCTTTTTTTTTTTTTTTTTTTATATATTAAAATTTTAATTTAGCTTAGCAAAAATATTTTAATGCACACATACCATGGAAAATGACAAATACGAAAAAAAAAAAAAAAAAAAAAAAAAAAAAAGAATAGATGCATATATAAACAAGGAAAATAAAAAAAAGCAAAATNAATTTTTTTTTTTTTTTTTTTTTTTTTTATATATTAAAATTTTAATTTAGCTTAGCAAAAATATTTTAATGCACACATACCATGGAAAATGACAAATACGAAAAAAAAAAAAAAAAAAAAAAAAAAAAAAGAATAGATGCATATATAAACAAGGAAAATAAAAAAAAGCAAAATGCAAAGGATAGATAATTATCACAAAATAAGGAAACATTATATATTTTTATTTTAATTAAAGATAAGTTATTTTCCCATTTTTTCTATTTATACTGTTTTAAAAAATAACAGCATAATACTAAAGGAGAGGCAATTATTTGAAAAATAAAAATTAAAGATGAGAAAATAACAAAAAAAAAAAAAGTAAAATATTTATAGAGAAAAATCAATACATAGTTCATTATTTAGTTGACACCCTGAATGTAGCTTAATTTTTTCTTCAAATTTTTCAGAAAAATTGCCTTATAAAAAAATATATAATGAGAAATATGCATATTTATATATTTTTATTTATAAAAGATAAAATTAATATAAATTATCTCATAATAATATGCAATAATATAATAAACTATAATTAAAATTATATAATATAACATTATAGCTAGAAATAAACTGAAAACTGTCTAAAATATAGAGAAGAAAAAAAAAAAAAAGTAATAAAATAATAAATTATATATATATTAATATTTTGTATATATATAATTACTTGGTAAAATATTAGAGCAGGAGGTATTTAAAGGAATAACACCCATTATCTTTATTTATTAATAAGAAAATTAAAAAAATGATACATAAAATTAAAATTAATTTCCTTTTTTATTTTTTTTTTTTTAATCTAGTTTTATATATTATTTTTTTTTTTTTAAACTTGCCTTCCAGCATTCTCCTATTAGCTCTGAACAAAAATATCCATTATTATCATCTAAAAATAAAAGAATAAAATAAAAGAAACAATATTAAGAATATGAAAATGGATTAGGAAATTTTTTTTTAAATATGTTTATATATATATACAATAACATATTTTTATGTTTAATTTTTTTTTATTTTTATAATAAAATAGAAAAATATATAGAGTGATTTAATTATTATTAAAAAATTTTGAAAGAGTAGTAACTAATTTAAACTACCATTTTTTGAAACAAGAAAATTAACTATCTTTAAATTATATTTTTTTCCTACAGTATTTTTCAAAAAATCTAGTAACTTTTGTAAGTTCTCTTCAGAGTTATTCCATGTTAAACGTCTTAAAGAAATTCTAATTAGAATCATTATATATTTATATAATAAATAATATATTTTTTTCTTTTTTTTTTTTCTTTTTTTTTTCAATTCAAGAATTTTATATTTTTTAATAATAATAAAAAAAAAAAAAAAAAAAAAAAAAAAAAACCTT